GGGATATGCAACTAGAATGTGATCAACTATAAACGGCAGCGACAGAACCAATGGCAATGAAGGGTCTGTGTGTGGCGGGCTATTGGATTGAGAACTTCTCCCCGAGGCACCACAAGGCTTCATCAAGACAAACTAAATACAGCACGAGCAAACACACATAGGCTACACAAGCACATCCACACAGCATACTCATGTATGTGCACACACACAGACACACCCCCACAAAACATGTGACCAAAAAGCTGTGTCAGGTCACCCGCTGTCCAAGAGACCACTGCAGCTGTCCTATTGATAGCTGAACTGTACTGCACACACGGGTCCATTAAACACTCAAAATGGCACACGGGTAGCGGTGGACTCTTCTATGCACAACCATACGAGGAACTCCAGTTTTCCAAGCACAATTTCTGTCAATTACAGATCAGTATGCTGGGGAACTCCAGTTCGAAACCCGCTCCTGCCGCCACTGCGTCAGGCCGTTGTGTCCTTGGGCAAGACACTTCACCCGGATTTGCTCCGGTGGGTAATGTCCACAATGCATGTATGATATCAATGTGTACTTGTAAAAGCGCCTCGATGACTTCGAGGCGTGAAGATGGACGTTGTGGCGCAGTGTGCTGTGCAATGATCATCAGATCAAGGGGTGAAACCCGCCGCTGCTGCGTCTGTAAAGCCGGTGTGTCCTTGGGCAAGACACTTCACCTGAACTTGCTCCTGTGGGTATTGTCCACAGTGGTGACCATTGCATGTATGATATGTGTAATGTGTATTTGTAAAGCGCTTTGAGCATCTGGAAAAGCGCTAGAATAAATGTAAGGAATTATTAATTATTATTATTAGTATGGTACTTGTGCGATCATGGTCATAGGCTGCCGGGTAGATCAAAAAAGGCCATATAGATACACATTACAAGTACCATACAACAAGCAAATAAGATTTTCCCAAATAACTGGCATACTACCAGCTACTTTCCACGTTGTCTCCTCTCTGAGCAGCGTTTCTTTCTGACCTACCTCTCGGCAAGCCAAATCTATTAACTCTTAAGAAAGAGATGAAAATAACCCGATTAAAAACACTCACTTTTAAAAGAATAACATTCCAGCCCCTGGCCCACTCTATCCCATTTCTTTCCATGACTTGGGTGTATTTGTATATCAAGTTGCTATGTAAACATAACAATGTCATGCTGGTGGGGGGTATATGCAGCGCTGTCATCTCTTTATTTTCTTTTTTAGCTGCGGCGAGTGTCAGACCAATCAAAGTGAAGTTTCTTTCTCTAACACTCAAATCCAGCCAAGTCTTCTGTCAGTGCACATTCAACACCTTCCTCAAATAGAGCTGTAGAAAGCTTCACAAAAATGTCTTTATCAAATATAATGCAGCCTAAATAATAAGTATGATTAACTTAACATTACTCATACTGCGTTCTGACCCCTTTTAACATTAAAGGGATATATATTGGCTGAATCAATGGCATACAACCTTATATTATTCAGATCTCTTCTTTTACAAGATAAATACTTTATGTAATAATGAAATAAGTCAATAATTGGAAAGCAGAGAGGGTTTTAATTAGAGAATCGAAGTGCTGCAAAGATTCTTGATGCAGCACTAGCAAACATTACAAATGACCGAGCACCTGATTGCTGTCTGAAATGATAGTCCATTAGAATTAATTCAACTCAGGGGACAAAAAAGACTAAGTCCCAAGAGAAGAACAACGAGGTATGCAAGGTGCTGGAAACCAGCCTTGCCCACTGTAAAGCTAATGAAAAGGGGGATGTATAGTCATTTGGGGGTCTGCATTTCCTTGGTTTCTTATTATTGCTATGGCACTGTTTGATATGAGCCTTCAGCTTTAAAGAGATCAAACATCAAACCTAATGAAACCTGCGAACCAAACAATGGAGCAGTGCAGCTTGGCAATTAGCAAACAATTGGCTTAGGTCTTTTCAACGAGTTTGGCATAAGATTAGTAGATGGACTAAAACTACTTGTGATGAAATGAGTGAGAGGAGACAAATCAGGTAAACCCATTCATTATTTCTGCCTTACTTAATATGAAGGGTACTAGTCGTATCTTTTTAATGGCAAGTTTAGTTTCGAAAGCAAATTTTAAACTAAATATCTCACCCAAGAGACTGTACAAACCAAACAGAGCCGTAGCCTTTAAAAGAACCATCGTAGCACCACCTAGCTGTTACATATTCAGTTATTCAAGTAATTTCTGAAACATTAAAACTTTGCGAAGTACCCACTTTTTCTCATTTTAAATCGTGACATACAGTTAACTGATTAAAAAAAGAGTAGTTCCTCTCCTGAGATAGACAAGTTGAAGCACCAACTTTGATAACGTTGTAGTCAAACGGCGAACTTCATTTTTCGCCGACTCGCAGGTAAAAGTTATTATATCCGTGCTCGACAGGCAGCGTAATGTTTAAAATCAATTTAACAATATCATGTGAGAGTTAAGACTGACTAACGGTCTTGGCAAACTGCCAGCAGAAAGGAAAGTTATCCTCCTGCTGGGTTCACGCTTGCTCGCAGCGGACGTTAGTTTGCAGTTTGGGCAGCAGGACCAGCGATGCTAACGCTAGCTAGCCAAATGTCCACCTGCTTGAAAATTACGTTCTCGAGAAAGACACAACAAGAAAATACGTTTTTCCGTAATGTGACACACAAGACAGAGCGGACGCTAACTGCGCAACAAACGGTTAAACTGACTGAACTCGCAGTTATGCTGCTAGTTGTCTGAGTTAGCATTAGCTGTAGCTTGACTGCCTGGTTGCCTTACCATCCATCCTGCTGGGATTGAGTGCGTTCACAGCTCGAAACACACACACACACCACAACGTAGCAACAAGTGAATCAATGTTGAGTTGGAGTAACGCTGACGCCGAGTACAACGTTCAAGAAAAGTGTAGAAAAAATAAAAAGAAGGGCGGAAAAACGGATATTTTACCAGGTACAAAAAGCTGTTGCCAAGCAATAGGTGAACGTCAGTTAAATGGAGAGTGGAACGCCGTTCAAATAAGGGAAAGTTCAGTTGTGGAAAATAACCACAGACTGCTAGCAAAGCACTTGACCACAGAGCATTTTTTCCAATTTCAGAAAAAACTTAGCACATGATTGCTGTGAAGATAATAGTCACCTTTGCCTTGTGAAAAAGTTATACCCTGGCACTGTTCTCTTTCCCCTCTCTCCCACTCGCTCGGTGACTTCCAGATGCTGCTGCTGCTGTTGCTGAGTGTTGCGCCCGTTGGTAAGTAACAGTCTCCACGGCTACAGTCACTGTGGCGCGACGGGGTCTCGAGGCAACTGTTGCTACCCTCGAATGTCTACGTCAGGGTCCTCACTATGCAAGGGAGGGACCAAAGGGACAAGAGGCCCGCCCAGTTCAATAAGACTGTAAATGTGAATGTTACCACTTGGGGGCAGTCTTAGCTAGGTAACCTCTGGAAGGAAGTGCATCATTTAGATTAATTAATTAAATTAATAAATTATGTTTTTTTAGATGTAACTTAAGTTATATATTGTCAAAGAAGCAGCAGTATTTTTGATAAAAATATTCAACTTCAGGCTCCATTCAATAATGCTTATTATTAGCCAGAAATAATAATAATGAAAAAGGAAATTAACATCGTCATTTCTCGCCCTCCCTCAGAGTACAGTGCACCCATCTTTAAACTAGTAAACCTTTGATAATAAAAAAAAGGGAAAAAAATGGCCTTGCATGGTTTTAACACTTTCAAGTTAACAAAGACAGAAAAACAAGATATATACTAACACCTGGCAAAGCTCCTCAACACTTCTTCTCTAGTAGTTCTGAAATAGGTGTCTTCGGGGCCATGCCTAAGCGACAATCTCACAAAGTGAAAACAATATCTGCAGCATGATGGCAATGCGAATTATATGTAGGATATGTATAGGCAGAGATGTAATAGGGGATGTAGTTCATATATATGCATATAAGAAGTGTATTTAACAAAGGAATTATTCTATCTAGCACACCACTTCAAACCGTCTTAAGGTATGTAAAGATAGTATTTGTATAGTTAAAAATACATGTAATCTTCTTTATTATACTCATTTTAATCTACTTACTTCCTTGGTGTTATTAAGCTTTCTTTAACTGCATTTCAGATCTTCATCACAAGGTGGCAGCATATGTCTATTTTGTGACATGTCAGATGAATAGATAACTTCATCAGGACTTCTTATAGATGGAATACAAATGCCTCACTGAGATACAGTACATACAGGGCAAAACTAGAGTGAAGAGATAAAGCTGTCAAATTGTCTATAACCTTTTATTGTTTGACTGTATTTAATTAGCTAAAAATTGAGGTTGATAAAAGGCTTCTGTTATACCAATACGAGAAAGGAGGAACATATAATGTTTTAGAGCTACCTGTTGTCGATGTGAAATATTCCAAATATCAAAAGTACGTTTAACATATAAAATATCAAAGACTATCCTATTTTAAACATTACATATTGTCTGTCTACAGTCACACTTTTTCTTGGAAGTAACTGTATAATATCAGGAATTATTACCAGGCTACAGAATAGATTAACTCAAATATCACCACATCTCGTACAAAAACATAAAATGTATCAAGTCTAGTTTATATTTAGTTTGAAAAAAGCTTGTTCTGATTTTCACTGGATACTATCAATGCAATATATTTTCTAGAGAAAACGAACCTCTTTTTCCTTAATATGTTTTTGAAAAAACAATGTTCAATTCATATTTCCATAGCAGGGAAGAATTAAAACGTTAATCATTTCGAAAACTTTGTTGTGAATTGGAGCCACGAGAGAGTATTCACAGTTCACACATTCCTGACCACAGCCTATAGTTTTCCCATATCCGAATGTCCAAGTTGTTTTTACTATGTATATTACAAGAGCTTTGACTCCACATTATCCGGTAGGCTATACTTCACATGAAATGAAGGGGAAATGTCCACTGTCTGAAGCTATAAAAGTGACAGCTGTCTCCAACAGGTGCCATAGAGCAGCAGCTCAGCTCGCCCTGAATGTGACTTTCTGCCAGTGAAGAGAGGCGCTCACAAGCTGCTGACACTCACACATGCAGGAAAGGATAGGCACTGTCAACATTGTGAACATATTCGTGGTAGGTAAGTCATTGTAAGTCGTATGATTTAAGGCAATACCATTTACCTCATTTATTTTAACATCAGTATCCGTGGCATAAGTGACGTTGTCTGTATACGCTATTGTTTGTATGAGGCAGTTAATGTCAAGCTAATTAGTGTTGTGTATTAAAGCTGTTTAAGTTTCTAACGTTACCACGCCGCGAAACCGCTTCACTTGAATAAATTGAAAAGGAAATCCTCACACGGGAGTTCAACGTAAAACATGCGAATGACTACAAGGTTAACGAAGGCATATTTACACTTTATTCATATTTCTTGACTTAAAAGTAACTTTTCCTTATACGTCCATGCTCAAAATGTTGTCAATTGTTCTATTAAACCGGGAAGCGTATTCAACGATACCCAACCAATGGCGGAGCCGCGTTAGCACCACCAACGGCAGGTCTACGGTGGTAACCCCCGCCCCTTAGCTAGCTAGGTTAGCATCTGCTCCGCTAGCATCTTCAGAGATCTTTAAAAACACAAACATTGACACATATTATTGAAGTTTCTGCCAATCGTCTAAGCTATGTATTTTCTTAATACTGTACTGGATGGTTACATTTGAACACATCCCATAACTTTTTTTTTGCCATGAGTCTTAGCTATTAAAGACTTCTGGGAGCTGTAGTTGTATTGGGTCTTTTAGAACAGGGGTGGGGAACCTCTGGCCCCCGGGCCGTATACGGCCCGCGAGAGAATTTGGTGTGGCCCTCGAGGTAATTTATAAACACATGCAAAAAAGAAAACAATAAAGAAATCTAGACCGCCAAAATAATTAAACAGTGAGTGCCTGTTTTTCCTGGACAAGGTCAGGGTCCCTTGAACACAACACAAGCCAACGGTGTGTCCACCACAGCAGCTTTGACCAAATCTTGAAAATCCTGGAGCTGGGCGTGTCTGACAGCTTGGGGATTTCGCGACCAACAACCAATCACATGAATATCACATGAATATCCCGCCCCCGACATACAAAGCAAAAAACCCGGTTCTTCTACACTATTGTCAAATAGGAAGGGCTATGATGAACATTTATTTTTTTAACATTTTGAACATTTATGAGATTAATGTTTATGGTGCTATTTTATGCTACATTCCATGCTGGCTAATGATACTGTCTATGCTTGCTAGCAACGAAGTAAACTAGCAACGAAGTAAACTGGATATAAAATCCCCAAACAAGCGAAAACCTACCAGTTTCACCCACTGTCTCTGCCACCTCCCTCCATGCCTGGTTCCTCCGGTTTGTATCCCGGTAAGTAAATAGGGACTGGTCATAAAGAACCGGGTGATTTGCTACCGCAATAACTAAGTTCTCCATTTTTGTGGAATATAGAAATGAACTGCGGGTCTGGTTGTCCCAGCTTGCACGCGGTTTGATTGGCTAGCGCTTGAACTGTCAGATTTGCATAAACGGATCTGATTGGCTGTCGCTTCCAGCTCAGCCTCAAAAGTTGAACATTGTTCAACTTTGGAATCCTGAACATCCTGGAATCCTGGAAATCTTCGCCTCGCCCCCCCCACAATGCAGTTCGGCGACAAGCGAGGGAAAGTGACGTCATCCCCATTCAAAGTCAATGGGCGGAGACGCGGTGGACAAATCGCCAAAAGCTGCTGTGTGGACGGCCCGTCCACACAGCGTGCAAGCTGGGAGAACCAGACCCGCAGTTCATTTCTATATTCCACAAAAATGGAGGAGAACTTAGTTATTGCGGTAGCAAATCACCCGGTTCTTTATGATCAGTCCCTATTTACTTACCGGGATACAAACCGGAGGAACCAGGCATGGAGGGAGGTGGCAGAGACAGTGGGTGAAACTGGTAGGTTTTCGCTTGTTTGGGGATTTTATATCCAGTTTACTTCGTTGCTAGTTTACTTCGTTGCTAGCAAGCATAGACAGTATCATTAGCCAGCATGGAATGTAGCATAAAATAGCACCATAAACATTAATCTCATAAATGTTCAAAATGTTAAAAAAATAAATGTTCATCATAGCCCTTACTATTTGACAATAGTGTAGAAGAACCGGGTTTTTTTGCTTTGTATGTCGGGGGCGGGATATTCATGTGATATTCATGTGATTGGTTGTTGGTCGCGAAATCCCCAAGCTGTCAGACACGCCCAGCTCCAGGATTTTCAAGATTTGGTCAAAGCTGCTGTGTGGACACACCGAACATGTCATCACGTGGTATCTCTGACAGGGGTGTAGTTCTGACGGAGAGCACCAGAACGCAGCTCTGCTCAGGCACTTCCAAAAATTGCAGTATCCATAAGGAGCCGTACACATGCTGCAGTTTTTGCGTGGCTATGTTTTAGTTGTAAGCACAGTGGCGATCTGTTCATGACTGTCATCCTGATCATACAGTCAATAACTTTGTTGTTATTAGCATCTGGTTAGCTTGCTATGCTAACGAATATAAGAAGCTTTTTCTACAACCAGTGAGGTAAAGGCACATCTGTATATGATCATTATAGTTATAAGAGAATAAAGTAAACGGGTATAAAATACTATATGACAGTAAAAAAAGTTGTTATTAATAAACAAGAATACAGTTTGAAAGGGGAGTGATTTGTAAAATATCCATAAAGAAAAAGAAAATCTGTTTACAGTTCTGTTTCATATCGGTGCTGAGAGATGTATCCATAGAGCTCCTAATGTTGCTCTCAGTGCACCAGATTGATGCTTTTAACTTCAACATTTAAAAACAAATCTTCCCGGGGGGTATGCCCCCCGGACCCCCCTAGAGGAGGTTAGGTCCCCCCCACTTAAATCATGTTCACATGGATAGGAAACTAAATACATTTGCACACATCTTGTGTCCATATCTTTCTGTTTGGGTGGTCATGGCACAACCGTGCACGTGCATGCATGAGTCATGGCAAGATATCTGGATTAAGAGGTTGTAGATTTGTACGGCCCTCGGAGGATGTTGAAAACATTGAAATGGCCCTTGAGAGGAAAAAGGTTCCCCACCCCTGTTTTAGAATATAATCTTTTAAAGTGTGATTGTCCTTGTAGTAATTTGTATCAATACATTTCAAATATTTTCATCTGAACTTTATTTAAAACTATTGTATGAAAAAACACTGAGTGTCTTCTAACCTTTTATCTATAATTAATATAAACATTTGTTAAAGATGATTATCAAGTGTGAATTGGATATTTATATTTGTTGAAATACATTTTGACAGGTGTTTTTAAAAAATGTGAAATGTCAAGATAAATATGTAGACAGACAATACTCAACACAACTCTACTGCAGTACTGTACAAACTGGCTTTTGTTATCTTGATCAGAAAAAAGTCGTTGGCAGTAAAATATTTATTGGAGATACTGTATGCATACAGACAGAATGAGTCCCTCCTCTCTGGTGTTACAAAAAGTCACATGCAGTATTTGCCTGCTTGCATGATGTGTGTTTTATACATTTTAAATGTAATTCATCAGAAATATCTTTACAGATATCAAACTAATGCAGTCTTGCTATATTGTTTTATAAACACACCTGCTATTGTTTACAAAGACTGCATTTCATCTCCAGTGGTGAGAACCAAGTGTACGCAAATTCATTTGGTTTTAGCAGTATTCTTCGGTTACTTTATACTCCTACTCTACATTTGAGATAAAGTGTACTAGTAATTTTAAACCTTAGTTGAAATGTATATTCAAACATCTGATCAATGTTTTGCAACTAATCAATTGTTTGCGTTATGGATTATACATTCTATCAAATAGGCCTATGCTTAAAAACCCATTTCAACATTAACATGCTCTAATGAGATTATCCAATGATATAAAGGACTTATAAATAAAACACTGAAAGAATCCATCTAAATAACAACAAACATAAATGTCCCTTGTCATTTTTACTTTAGTGCTAAAGGTTATAAGCCAAATAATTGCTGTTAAAATGTGGTGTTTTTCTATGAATTAAAAGGTATTTCTTTGAACACTTAACATTAGGACAGACTTATCTTTTTATATAACAAAGATAAGAAATCTTAGCACAATAGAATACTTTTGATCTTACTAGTGTAAATGTTTAATGTTGCATCATTGGATTTTGACATTTGATCAAATAGCGTCTATTCACAGCAGTGCCTCTGCAGAGTGAGGGCTGAGAGAGGATGTCACTGACCGACAGTAACCTCAGTGCAGGGTGCATCAGCACTAAATGCATCCTGCAGCATTTTAGCGCTTGCGCATGAGTACTCCGCCTCTGGATGTCATGTGATGCTGTGGTGTGGTGGATCTGCATTTTCGTCTCTCATGGCAATTGGCTGAGACTGATCTTTCTATAGAGCAGTGATGACAACATCTACACACGTGGAATATTTTTAGATTTACCATAAAAAGTAGGCACAAGAAAATAATAAGATTTTTTTTATTCTGACGCATGCTTCAATTGATGTCTTGTGCATATACAGATGCAATTTATTCCTATTGCAGAGTGTTATGTGAATTACCTTTTTTGTTCTGGATTTTATTTTAACGTTGTGTCACCCTATAGTCATTATACAATACAGAATTGCATATGAAATGCAGTTGTACCTGCTGCTCAATGCTACAAACAAAGAAAATGTATAAACAGATATTTAAAGAACAAGATAAGACTTAAACAATAAGACTGGCAATAAAATACAACCAAGTTATTTATATTGAAATAGCTTTCATCTGTCATTACAAGCATCTTGTTGTTAGGTTAAATGTAAAAAGTCATCTTTCACATAAGCCATATTGGAGTTATTTCTCAATCGGGAAATAAGATTGAGCAGAAACGTGCTCTCTTCCGCGTATTTGACCTTTTGAATGTTAGAGGTGGGAGTTGGGGGGAAATATTGTAAAGGAAATTCCTTTTAGGTTAATCCACCAGCAATGAGAGTGGTTATTTGTTTACCGCAAGTGTTGCTTGTGTATCTCTGAAAGGATTTCTACTGTGCTATAAATGGCAACTTACTTTCATTTGGTAGTACACAC